GGAGGAGGAGGAGGAGGAGGAGGAAGAGGAGGGAGGAGGAGGAGGAGGAAGAGGGAGAAGGAGGAGGAGGAGGAGGAGGAGGAGCAAGGGCAGGATTAAGAGTGCCGGCGGCCGCTCATGAGCACCGACCTCTAAGCGCGGCCCCTGCGCCCTGAGGGGCAAGGCGCCGTGGAGATACCCCGAAACAAGGGGCGATCTTGGTGAGGAGCCCTCGCACAAAGGAAACGTGCTGGGGGAGGAGCCCTGGCATCGCTAAAGGGTGCCCCTTTAGCGATGCTGCACGCTGGGTCAGGATGGCCTCCAACATGCCTCCAGAAGGCCCCAAAACGGCCCCAGGACAGCCCCAAGTGACCGTGGAGTCGCCCAGAGACGCGTCCGAGAGCCCAAACTCGTTCAAGACTCCCCGCTTTGCTTCTGGCGCGCGTCCGAGGCATCAAGATGGCCCCCAGGAGCGTCTGGGAGAGGCGCAGCGCCCCAGGGCCGCCCCGGAAGCCCCTCCAAAACGCCCCAAGTTCGCCCCACGAGGGCTCCAGCGCCGGACTCCGGCGGGGCAAGGGCAGTGGGTGTGGACGTATCCTGTCGGTGGAAGCTCAGCGGCCCTGGCCGCGACGCGCGAAGCGCGGTGACCTCACAAAATCGTACCAATCAGTCGGATCCATGGTCGAAACGAGTCGGGTCAGCGGAAATCGGCAGCCAAGCTGGGGGATAGCTCAGCGGCCCTGGCCGCGACGCGCGAAGCGCGGTGACCTCGCAAATTCGCACCAATCAATCGGATCGATGGTCGAAATGAGTCGGGTCAGCGGAGATCGGCAGCCAAGCTGGGGGAGAAGTCGAATCGGCGGATATCGGCAACCTAGTAAGGCCTCCATTGAAAAAAAATTGAATCCGGAGTCAAATCGAATCGGAATCGGATACGATCAGACTTTAATCAGGGTCAAATGAGCCCTGGGCTTTGCCCCCTCACTTCCAGACAGGACCCTGGCGACTTGCTGCGGAGCCGCGCCGGGCCCGCTGAGAAACTCGGAGTGGCATCCCCTGCTCGCCCGAACGCGCTCGCCCCGAAGCCTCCCTGGTGGAGCAGGTGCCGCGCGCTCCCCTTCCCCCGCCCCGCCATCGCCGAGCAGTTCGCCGAGGTCGCCCGTGCTGCTGCTGCTGCTGCTGATGCTGATGATGCTGATGATACTGGTGATGCTGATGATGCTGATGATGATGATGCTGATAATACGGATAATGATGATAATGATGAAAATGATGATAAAAAATACGAATAATAATAATCAGAATAAAAATACTAAGACTAATAATAATAATAATAAATAACAATAATAATGATGATAATAATAATAAGTATTATGATTGGTGTTCGTACTATGATGATTGCTATTATTATTACTGTTGTTTTTGTATTACGATTATAAGAATGGTAATATTAGTAATCATAATAAAAATGATAATACATAAAAATACAGAAATAAATAAATCAGGAAATAAAAAAAACATGAATGATAACAGGAATAAAAAGAATTTCAAGAATTCGAATAATACTAAAAATAATAGCAATGATGATGGTGATGATGATGCTGATGATGATGGTGATGGTGATGATGATGCTGATGCTGGTGATGATGGCAAGGATGGCGATGATGATGGTGGTGATGATGATGGCGATGACGATGGTGATGATGATGATGATGGTGTTGATGCTGATGATGATGCTGATGATAATGATGCTGCTGATGATGATAATGATGATGATGATAACGATGATGATGATGATGATGATGATGATGATGATGATGATGATGATGATGATGATGATGATGATTTGATGATGATGATGATGATGATGATGATGATGATGATGATGATGATGATGATGATGATGATGATGATGATGATGATGATGATGATGATGATGATGATGATGATGATGGGCGGGGGCCGACCTGCTGCCATGCCCTTCACCTCCCCCCCCCGAAAGCACCCGCGGGCTGGCGCCTGGCAGCAAGGCCGCCGCCGCGCCGCAGGGCCCCTCCAGGCAGCACCGCCACCCGGCGGCGTGGCCCCTGCCCCCCTCTCGCGCGCTTTGCTTCGCTGGGCGCCCCCGATCACCCGCTCTCCCCGCTCCACGCTCTCCGCCTCCCTCCTCCATCTCCATCTCCATATACTTCTCTTCCTCCTCCTCCTCCTCCTCCTCCTCCTCCTCCTCCCTCCTCCTCCTCCTCCTCCTCCATCTCCATCTCCATCTCATCTCCATCTACTCCTCCTCCTCCTCCTCACTCCTCCTCCTCCTCCTCCTCCTCCTCCTCCTCCTCCTCCTCCTCCTCCTCCTCCTCCTCATTGTTCTTATCATTCGCATTAGTACGGCTGTCCCTTCCTTATTCGTATAATTGGTAATAGCTTCTGACTGGTATGGGCATACTTCATCTTCTGACAAGTATGTGGTTACTCTTCCTAGTTTGGTCATTAGGATTCACTAGTATTATGAATGTGGGTGTTACTATGACTCGTAGAATGTATTTCACTTCAATTCCTCCTCCTCCTCCTCCTCCTCCTCCTCATCCTCATCCTCATCCGCCTCCTCCTCCTCCCCCTCCGCCTCCTCTTTCTCCTCCGCCTCCTCCTCCTCCGCCCTCCGCCTCCTCCTCCCCGTCCCTGGTTGGAGGCGCCGACACGAGGGGTACCGCGCCGACCCAAGACACCCGCGCGACAGCCATCGCGCTGCATGTTTGTATGGTTGTATGTATGTATGTGTGTGTATGTGTATGTACATCTGCCTATATATATATATATATATATATATATGATACAAACACACGCCGAGGACATGTGCGTGCACCTTCAGGGACGGGGGCGATGTACAACGTCGCTGGCTCCCAGTGGCGATCGATACACCGCCACCCTCCCCTGAGGCCCAGGAACAGCCCTCTGAGGCCCAGGATCGATCCCCTCCTGCCCAGGGAGGCAGCCTCTTTTTCCCGTCGTTCCAGCAAACTCGGGGAGTCCAGAGGCCTCAGAACCCACAGTGACAAAAACTCGACGACCCGTTTAAACCTGTGGTGTTGGGTCCTCGATTTGAATACACGGCGCCCCGCGTTCTCTCTCCTCCTCCCCTCTTTCTCCTCCCGCTCCTCTTCGGCACATCCCTCACACCGTTCGTGGCCCCATAGGGGACTCCACCGAAGGCCCCAGTGGCAGGGTTCGCATGCGGTTCCGCTCTGACTTCGGAGCACCCTTCACACGGTTCGAGGCACCATAGGGAGCTCCACCGAAGGCTTCAGGCGGAGGGTTCGCATGCAGTTCAACCCTCATGTCGGCCACCCGTCACACGGTTCGTGACCCCATACGGAGCTCCACCGAAGGCCCCAGTGGCAGAATTCGCATGCGGATCCGCCCTCATCTCGGCGCACCCCTCACACGATTCGTGGCCCCATGGGGAGCTCCACCGAAGGCTTCAGTGGCAGGGTTCGCATGCAGTTCAACCCTCATGTCGGCGCACCCCTCACACGGTTCGTGGCCACATTGGGAGCCCCACCGGAGGCCTCAGTGGCAGGGTTCGCATGCGGTTCCGCGCTCATTTCGGCGCACCCTTCACACGGTTCGTGACCTTATAGGGAACTCCACCGAAGGCGGCCCCAGTGGCAGGGTTGGCATGCAGCTCCACCCCCCCATTTCAGCGCACCCCTCACAAGGCTCGTGGCCCCATGGGGAGCTCCACCGAAGACAGTACTCACAACTGCCTTACGCACAACTACATCTGGCTGGGTCCTTCGCCAGGACAATTTGATTGTGGCGGCCGACAGCAGCAGCAGCAGCAGCAGCAGCCGCGGCGGCAGCACCAAGGCAACCGCCCGGCCCCTCCAGCGGCTCGCTGCCAGCGGCGCCGAATGGCCGCGGGGCGAGCGGGCGTACCCGAGCCCAGCCTTCCGCTCGCCTGCGCGAGGGGCAGGGCTACAAGCATCGCCGCCGCGCTGACCAGAAGGAGCGCCGACGAACGAACGGAGGGGTGTGTCTGCCTCGGCGAGCCTCGGCCTTGGACGCCCAAAGTAGCCACGGAGAACTTGGGCACGGTGCCCAACAACACGTGCTGTCCGAAACCGGCAGCGGCCGCTGTTGCGCGGGCGGCTGCCCGTCTGCAAGGGACAACGTCCGCGGCGGCTCGGTCAGCGAGTCCTGTTTAAAATGAGCAAGAACTGCTGTTGGGCATCGTATATACCCGTTATTTCCACACTCGTTCCGATCATCCTGATCGGCCCCAAGCCAGAGCCCGTGAACCAGGGACCGCAGAGTGCCAAAAAGCGTCCGCTGGCGATGCTTTTCAGCGCACGAAACGGTCAGGACGTCCCCCTCCTAAATGCATGTCGCTCCCATCGCACTTGAGGACCACATTCCCGATAAAAACGAGCACCCATAAGTATCGAAACAGTGTCTGCCCGACACGCCAGCGAAATATCGAACGAGTATCGCATCCCATGACCCGACACGTGAAAGCCCTCCAGCTTCGGTACTTTCTCCGTGCTCGAAATTATCTCCAATGGTCAAGGCTAAAGTAGGTTGGGACACACCGGTCAGAAGAAGCAGGTGAAAGCATGAGGTAGGATGGTAGATATGGAGTAGATTGTGCTCACGCCCTCCAAGAGGGCAACAAAACATAGCAAAAGCAGATCCATGATTGGAGTAGGAAGGCTGTTGAAATAGATCGGGATCTGGGAACCCAAAAATATCTACTTTCAACGACCGGCGTGTGCCGCCCCAGTGTGGTTACCGCGTTCGGTGATCTCCCTGTGGGGCCACGAAGTGTGCGAGGCGTGTGCCGAAAGGGGCGCGGTGGAGCTGCCTGTGGGGCCACGTGCCGAAACGGGTTCGGCGCCGCCGTGCGAGCGCAGCTGGTGGCGCATACGGTGGAGCATACGGTGGAGCTCCCTATGGGCCCACGACACGTGCGAGGGGTGTGCCGAAATGCGTCGGGCGGGCGCTGCGCCACGGAAACACTCGAAGGAGCTCCCTATGGGACCACGAACTGTGCGAGGGGTGTGCCGACATGGGCTGGGCGGACGCATGCGACTTGCGCCACGGAGGCACTCGGTGGAGCTCCTCCCTCGCCTATGGGCCACGAAACGCGTGAGGGGTGCCGAAACGGGCCACGGGGACGCATGCGAGGGAGGCACTCGGTAGAATTCCCGACGGAGCCACAAAACGTGCGAGGGGTGTGCCGACATGGGTCGGGCGGACGCGTGCGAAGTGCGCCACCGAAGTAGTCGGTGGAACTCACTATGGGGCCACAAACCGTGTGAGGCGTGTGCCGAAATTGGCTGGGCGGACGCATGCGAACTGCGCCACGGAGTCACTCATCAGTGGAGCTCCCTATGGGGCGACGAACCGTGCGAAGGGTGTGCCGAAATGGGTCTGGCGGACGCATGCGACTTGCGCCACGGAGGCACTCGGTGGAGCTCCCTGTGGGGCCAAGAAGGTTTGAGGGGTGTCCCGAAAATGTCGGGTGGACACATGCGAATTGCGCCACGGAGGCACTCAATGGAGCTCCCTATGGGGCCACAAACCGTGTGAACTGTGCCGAAATTGGTCGGGCGGGCGCAAACCTCCCGCCCCGCTTTATCTCGCTGCGTTGGAGGTCTGGGTCTCAGGCTTGTTGTCCTTCGTCGCTCGTCGCTCGTCCTTCGTTATGACTTCAAAACGAGGCCCCCAGAAACCTCGACCACCTCCTGGGGGCCAGTTTTCCTGAGTCGTTTTGTTGTCGGCCCCGAGACCCCGCGAGGGCCCGTCTAGAGGGCGAGAACGGCGACAAACCTTCCGCCTTGCTTTCTTTCAATGCTTTGGTGGGGGAACCAAAAGGTACCCATACCGCTACTCCCCGGACCTCTCGTGGGGCGCGCTCTGACCAGGATTTCGAGGCGAGAATCCAGCGGTGGCGACGAGGTCCCCCCAGGAGGCCCCCCAAAAAATGCAAAACGAGGCAAGGGTAGCGGCATTGTACTTACCCTGTTTCTTCTCGGAGCTGGCGGTCTGGGTCTGCGGTCATCGGTCGGGCGTGTCCTCCTACAGGCCGATGTTGGAAGAAAAATACCAGTATACATATATATATATATATATATATATATCAGTCAGTCAGTGGAGCCGCGCCGCACGGCGCATCGGCTAAACAGCACAAGGCTGATTACAACAGTTCTAACGCACAGCCTCTCAGAAAACATACGCCTGGGCAACGCTTCTCCACCGAGCCCTGCTATAGTTCGGCCCGAGCTCGGCGCGCACAGATGTGCCAGAAGCCGAGCATGCTAGCGACGCGTGCTAGTGCATTACGCGAGCCCACGTCAATCTGGGGCGGCCTCGTGCTCTTCTTCCGCGTAGGATCGGCGGGTTCACGCTCCCGGGCGCGAACACTACATCACGAGCTGCTGAGTCCGGCATGCTGCCAAGCTTCCCGAACAGATCGAACTGTTTCATGAGAATGTGGCTGCTAAGACGGTGCTGCCCGGCTTGTTGCCGCACGCTGTGGTTGGACACGTGGGAAATCATGGAATGAGGGATCTTTAGTATTTTGCGCAGACACTGGGCCTGGAACGCATCAAGTTTATCCCTCTCTGCTTTCCGCAAGCACAAAGCCTCGATGCTGTAGGAGAGCTTGGAAATTACGCACGCGTTGAACAACATGATCTTTCTGCTCCGACTGATGTTCGCGTGCCCCCATACCAGGCATAACTTATCAAGGGCCCCCCTGGCCTCCCCCAGTCTGCGCGCCAGAGACGCGCCCGCGTTGCAGTCAACGTTCAAGAGGCCACCAAGATATAAAGCTGAACTGGTCGTGTTGACCGGGTCCCCGGTGGATGTGAGCACTGGCGTTGCATGCCGAACTTGTAAATGCACAGTTTTCCCCCAATTGGGCTCTAGACCGTACCTCCATGCATGTTGAACAAGAGTGCGTAAGAAAAACTGCAGACGAGGGATGTCATCAGATATCAAGGCGGCGTCGTCTGCATACGCAACGTCTAAGCAAGTATTCCCCTCACCGAGTGGACCACATTCTCGCACCATCACTTCTTCGACGTCTGTCAGCAAAACGGACAACATGATGATGAACAGATAAGGACTCAGCGGGCACCCCTGCGCTATGCCAGATTGCTGGTCGAATATACCAGACTCCCCGTGCGCATCGCGCACGTCAAAGGTTCGGTTGTCGTAAATATCTGCAACGATATCGATATACTCGTCCGGGATGCCAAACCGGGACAATGCGACGACCAAAGCAGCCGCGTCCACTCGATCAAAAGCCTTGGACCAATCAAGCAGCAGCACGGACAGGCAGCCGTCCTTGGTCGACCATGCCTTCTCGATTAATCTCTGAACAAGAAAATACGCATCGCTGGCCCCACGGCGTCGTCTGAAACCGAATTGCGTTGGCCGCAAGCGTCCCTCAACTCCTCCCTGAGCCATCCGGCGCAAGATGAGGGCGGCGATGACTTTGTAACCAACAGACAACAGCGATATTGGGCGGTAGTTCTCTGGCAGAGACACGTCCCCCTTTTTGAACACAGTGGATACACTGAAATGCTTCCAGCGCTTCGGCACGGTCTTCTCTCTCCAGCACACATTACAAAGATTGAGAAGAATATCGCACGCGTCTGCGTCAGACCGCAATGCTTTCCAGAGGTCGGGGGGGATGCCGTCTGGTCCAGCTGCCAGCTCCTCGCTGGAGAAGTCGCCAGCCTGCAGAGGAAGCACAGGGCCAAGTTTGCCACCGTGTGGAAGAGCTCTGCCAAGCGGCGGCGGTTTCCACTGCACCGTGGCGTAATGCTTCGCCATGGTTTCGGCGCGCTCATGACTACCGACAAGATTCCCACTCGCGTCTCTGAGCCGCCCTTGTCTCGTGAAGCCTCTCCGTTTGAACTGTCTCAGGCTTCTCCAGTCACCTGCTGACAACATGTCGTCCAGCCATGCTGCTCGATCTTTCTTCGCAGAAGCTTTGATCTCTCTCGACAACGACACTTCTCTATCAATATTGCCGGCTACCCGGGCTTGGTTGCGTTGTTCTATCAAATTCAAAGTAGGCTGCCGTATCCAAGGACGATTTGCTTGCACTGGACGCCGGGTAAGACAGGCAGCCGCCGCAGTAGCCATGCCGGAGGCGATCCTGGCAGCCACTTCATCAACGGTTTCTGTCTGAAGACTTTCGTCGTCGCCACAATGCTGCAGAAATTCCGATACGAAATGCTTCAGCACGTCCTTCTGCTTGAGCGATGCCAAATCCAAGGCGTGCCGAGTGGGCTTGGGGGAGGTCTTCGGGATCTCCACCGCGAGCCGAGCAATGACGAGGAAATGGTGCGATGAGAAACCTATCGATCGATCCGCTCTGACCTCTCGAACCGTGTCCTGCCACTTCCGTT